TGATACATTGATTAGATTCAGCTATTAAAAACGCGCTGTTCTTGAACCAGACTTACCACAGAGACGAAAAGAGCTCTTTATAAATAAAATAGGTGTCCCAAAATTACGGATGTCATCTTCTCCACCCTCTTCCTCAACCCGTTACGCTGGTTCCGGCAAATCTTGCTTGTTACACACGCCTGTATATTCCAACTTGTTACTGAAACGTACTGCCCTCGAGAAGAAGCAAGATTTTCCGTAACCATAGTAATGGAGAGGGGAAAAGAGTGAAGAATGGGGAAATCGCGTAACCTCGAGTAGCCTATTCTATTTGCAAAGTAAATCATTCAGAGTTATTAAATTACGCAATGAAATGTAGCTCACGTAAGTTCTTAAATAGGAATTTTGTAGATCGAATAACTACAGATTTTCTGCCATTAATGTTATTATATTTGTTAACTAGTGTGTAAACTTAAAAATAATGTCATATAAGTTGCGGGATGAAACACATAACATTGAAGATGTAACGTTGCGACTGTTTTCTAATACTATTTTCTCTAAAGCAACAGCAAATGTGGGGTTCATGAATTTTTGAGCTTTAAAACCAGGATATTGCTGTTATTTAATGCCATCCCACTAGCATCGATAGCCTAATTGCAAGGTAACGACATCTATACACTCTAGTTCTACGTAAGCAACTTTCTCTTCCACGTTTAAAAATTTTTATTGTTGTTAATATCACTTTTTACCATATTAAAAAAAAATCTTTACTCTCAATTAGTTTCAAACCTTAATATTTTCATGAATATAAACATTCTTAACATACTTACTAGCATCACTGACTAAAAATTATTCATTAGTAAGCAGAACATTTTAATACATTTATTTATTCTAGTATTTAATTAAATGTAAATTCAAGTTTCATGGACTTTATTAAAATAAATGTTAGATAATTTGCGAAATACTACATATATTGAATTAAAACACAAAGATTTTTTTTAAATTTGGCAAAAAAAATAGGCTAGAATAAGTAACTTGTCTTTTATGTTACTTTTAATGCTATTATTTTAATAACAAATTAATTCGGACAATACAAATGCCTCTCATTCGTATAAACGAAAATTTTTTTTTTCCAACTTAACATATAATACAACAGTCAATTGGGTCTCCGATAAGCAATTTGACAATAGAATTTATTCTACATGTAAACGTTTGCATTATTTGACTATAAAACATAAATTGTGTTAATATTTAAATATGATAAGACATTACTTATTCTAGCATATTATTGAGAAAATTATATTATATTACTGACAAAATTTCAGTCATTAACATATATTAAATTTCAATTCGATTTCAAATCAACATTTTATTATTTAGATTAACGTTGAAGCTTAAATTAATGAGAGGAAATTATATATATATAAATGATGATGATAGATATTAATATAACATATATCAGTGATAACAAATATTAAAACTGTGATATTTAACCAACGCAATTGCTTACAAGGAAAACTAGGGAAGTGTGACTCGCCAATTTTAAAATAAACTAGTGGGATGTATGCCTTATGAGAAATAATTTTAAGGGGCAACATTCGTTTCGGCCCATAGAAGGTCCTGTGAGAGATAAAAAATAATTCAATATATAGAAAAATCGATATTTTATTACTTCAATGCAGACTATTAGTTATTGTAATTGTCTCATACTCCAATTAATTTGTAATTAATTGGTTAATTAATTAATTTTCTAATTAATAAATCAATTAGCAAATTAATTAATTAATTATTAATTAATTGATTGATTTGCAATTACATACTCCAATTAATTTGGAAAATTTTTGAAAAAAAAAGTTAAAAAATTTGATGTCAATTTTTTTTTTTAAATTAACCTAACAGGTTTTTCTGAAAAACTACAGATATATAAAATTTTCAAAATCAATTTTGAGAATAAATATGCATTATATAGTACGTGAAAGTAAGTACCACAAAATTAATTGGAGTATGAGACAATTACAATAACTAATAGTCTGCATTGAAGTAATAAAATACCGATTTTTCTATATATTGAATTATTTTTTATCTCTCACAGGACCTTCTATGGGCCGAAACGAATGTTGCCCCCTAAAATTATTTCTCATAAGGCATACATCCCACTAATTTATTTTAAAATTGGCGAGTCACACTTCCCTAGTTTCCCTTGTTAGAGAATTTGCAGTAACCTCTCGTCAGGCAAGACTATGTCTCTTTTTCTTTACATTTTTGGCCTTTCAAATTAAGCTATGTTTGCTGAAATATATACGGTGCAGCAATAAAAAATTACTTTAATATATAAAATATATTTTTCAACACATATTGATAATAATTTAAATATAAAAAATATACTTAAATGTTTTGACTAAGTATAATAAATAACATGCTAAAAATGAAAGATTTTATAAAAAAAAAATAACATGCGAGTGCTGTTTGAGAATGATTGAAAGAAAAAAACAACTCAAAATTTTAGCACTATTGATTAAGACTTTTTCTTAAAAATAAAACTAATTATTTATTGAGAATTAAGTTAGTTGAAAATTTTTTTTTAAGTAGTTTTAGCTGGAATTTAGATACATTTATAGAATTAGAACGAATATATTTATATTGAACAATATATAATTTTCCTATGATTGTAATATTAAAAAAATAGCAGTATTGAATAAATAAAGATATTAATTCTGTGTCAACGTAGAAGAGAAATAGCTGCTTTCTAAAGTGGACAAAAAACAGATAGCTTACACAAACTACAATGATGGAAGAGAGGAATCCAAAAATATAGAGATATCCCGACATGGAAGATGTATACTGGTGATTCTTATACAACACACATGGCTGTGGAAGCCTCTTGTCTTCTCCTTTTGAAGAAATTAGATCTTCAATCCGATATGGAGATTGTATTATATGAAACAACCACATTTCAGAAACCATTATTTGAGCAGCAATCTTCCTGCCATCAATGGTTCCAGAGACTACTGCGGCATTGAAAGTGTTCATAAAAACTAGTTGAGTTCATAACGTTACCTGCCAAAGTTGTATCTCCTAACTTGTATCAGCTAGCGAATTCTTACCAAACTCTGCTAGACCACTTTTTTTTCCCTAACCTGTATATTTATCAAGATCAGACCGATAATCGAATTCGATTGTTACAGGTAAACATTTGCTGCTCTAATAGTCAGATAAAAGAAGTAACATAAATGGCGTTATTGCAGTCATAAGAGATAGCGGAATCAGGTAGTGTTACCGGATTTTTGTTTTACGATAATCTGTAGACTACCATTTTCAGGGCCCGCACTAAGGATTTCAAATTATTAGTCAAAGATCAAAAGTATTCGCCAAATGCAAATCTTAAAATTTCTTCTTTCCAGTGGAAAAAATCATTCGCCAATACTTACAACAAAACACAATTTTATTCGCCAAATTTAAGATTTTATCGCATTTAGGGAGGTGGCGAATGCTTAGCGCGGGACCTGAATTTTGTTTTGGAGATGAATGCTTAGAAGTTTAATTGTTAAGTTAATACATTACCTAAACTTGCCAAAATTGTATTTTATCAGGAGTAGTTTGTAAATTTCCAAATAAATAAATAAAAAAAAAATCTGCTTTCTTGAATACAGTTTTGGAGAAAATTGCCTCATATTGTACAAATGCCGCAGTTTTGTATCTCTTTATCGGGAACTAAACGTGACTAGAATATTGCAAACAACATTTGCTGTTCTAATAATAGTTTCCGAAACTGCAGTACAGTGAAATCTGATAATTTGACCCACTTGGAAACCGCCGAAGAAAAACCTGGTAATCAAGTACTCGTATCCCAGTCAACAGAAAGTACTGTTTTTTGTAATGGTATTTTCACAAGTATTTCACATTCTTTAAGTATACATATGAGATATAATAAAGCGCACACGTCACGTGTTACAAAATTTAAAACTGCTGAATCATACCGTAATAAGTTTTATATCAAAAGATACATTTCTACCGTTTTTGAAACCATTCAAAAATTAAAATGTTCTTTTTTGTTGTTGTAAAAAGTATACATTTTTGTACAGTTCATTATTTGAATTCCAAGTAATTTTTAATCCACTAGAGCAGGGGTGGCGAACCTTCATACACCAGCGTGCCATTTTTTCTAAAAAAATTGTTTAATGAGGTCATAGACGTGCCGTCAAAGAATTTTGACTTCGTGATTAGTGGGAAAATAATACTACTAAATACTATCAACTTAAAACTCTTTATTTACATTGAAAAAAAAAACATTTTCTAATGTCTCAGTTATACGCGTAATTCAACTTAAAGTAACATCAGTGTGACTTCTGTTGTTGCAGATTAGATTTATACGAAAAACATACTNCATTTGAAAAAAAACATTTTCTAATGTCTCAGTTATACGCGTAATTCAACTTAAAGTAACATCAGTGTGACTTCTGTTGTTGCAGATTAGATGACAAATAACTTATTTTAGGTCGTAAGATGTTAGTTTAAGCAGAACTGATAATTTTTTTTGCTAGTTATTTATTGTTAGCTTGTTTTTTTATGGTAATTAATTGTTTTTAGCATTAATTGTTAATTTTTTTTATTAATAATTGTTTATTATTTTGTGTGTTTTTTTGTGAATTTTAATTTAATTGTTACATATGCCTCATAGTGTAGTGTAATAACATTTGTGTAATAACAATTCATAGTATAATAACAAATGTGATTGGTGGCGTGCCCAAAATATTGCGTCGGGTGCCATAAATGGCACGCGTGCCATTGGTTCGCCATCCTTGCACTAGAGCCTTGTCGGTAGTATAAAATAAGTATTGCACACGAATCTACCACAAAAAAAAGAACTCGTCTCAACTGTCGCACGATGCTCTTCGCTCTCCACCAAAATCGCCAAGGGAGCACGTGACTCGGGTGGAAGAGAGATGGGGGAAATGTAACAGCAGGTTTGCTGCTCTATTTGTTTTACAGCTCTACGGTTAGTCAATTTTAATAGATTTCACTGTATTGGTTTTGGCTTTAGAGTGGAAATGCGATATTATATATGAAAGAAGAGCGTTTTCCTTGTTTTTTTTTATTGTTTCTGGCGTCTGCGAAACTTGCATTTTAGCTTTGATTTTTTTTTTAAATTAAAAAAAAATCAATTGAGTCTCCGTAGAGGTGTACAGGAGGCTTCCGTAGCTTTTTTTATCCATGACTCGTATTTAATAGTGTTACATTTAGAACAGTCATCCTAAATTGAGATCAGTAGTGTCAACGGATTTGTCTTCCCCGATGCTTTGTGGCCTGCCATTTTGTTCTTCTTCTGTCATATCAGCCTAAAAAGATAAGATAAAAAGTCTTATATATATATACAGAAAAAAAAGTCGAAAGAGACATCAAAGTAACGCAACTTATTCATGGTGAGTAGTGTTTTTTAAAAGTGCATTCTGCATTTTAAATAGAACAATCGTCAAACATAATAAAGGAGAAACGCGAAGTTCATACTTAATTTAAATGACATTTTAACTACTAAATTAAAAGCATCCAGTATCGTAATCAAACACGTAGAACATAAGAATAAATGTAAAGCCAAGGGCAAAAGACAGAAAAAACAAAATTTTACGATGGTATATATACATTTCATTCACTTGAAATTTAGTTCAGTGCGTTATACTTCAAGAAGAAAATACAGAGAATGCATTGAAGATATATACCCAGAAAGCATGAAACCTTATTTTCTTTTTATTGTCGCGGAAATGCTTCTACTAAAAAGCATTTTTCAATGAAGCAAATATATTGCAGTTTCAAATCTTTCATCCTAAAAAGATTAAAAACTATTTTGAAAGCTTTTTTAAAAATATTCTACGAGGGTTGTAAATTAAATAGTGGCAACTTAACCATGAAACTCACAGAAGGGCGGGCATGCGCAAATAGGGTATGGGTGTGGTGAGGTGGTGCTGTTGTCGATGTGTAGAGTGCAAAAAACATTCGTTCTGCTTAGAAGGGTAGTTGTTGTGTGTCGTTAAAGTGAGGAGTATCGTTTCCATCGCTCTAAAGCAAGTTGTGAAAAGGCTTAATGACGAAAAAAGACGAGATGCGTGAACCCATCGTGCTACTGTCCTATGGTAAAGCATTTGTGCCACAGGCTTCCACTAATCCTCGATAGCATTCTGTTGCATTTTTGTCACGGGCAACCTCGATTTTAAGCCACGACCACTGATCACCTTTTGAAAACATGCTTTAGAGCGATGGAAACGAAACTCCTCACTTTAACGCCACACAACAACTACCCTTCTAAGCAAATCGACTGTTTTTTGCTCTCTACACATCGACAACAGCGCCACCTCACCACGCCCATACCCTATTTGCGCATGCCCGCCTTTCTGTGAGTTTCAAGGTTAAGTTGCCACTATTTAATTTACAACCCTCGTAACTTAGGTAAAATGGTCATTTAGGTTCACGATGACGTTTTAGCTAACGTCACACTAGCGGTAGGATCAAATTGCAGTGTTTTTAAAATTTCATGACAAGGTAAATTTTAGCTGAACATACAAGACGTTGCAAAAAGAAACCTTAAATTTAAATTGATTTAAGATTATTTTTATCTTAAGTTTAGCTTTATTCAATGATTTTTCACGCTTGAAAACCCTAAGACAACCACGATTTAAGGTTTTCATACAGAAGGTTGTTTTCCAATGTTTTGGATTAGGGTAATGTGGGTAGATCTCGTTTTAAGGTTAAATAGTTTACACGTAAACCGCACAAGAAATCATTTTAGGTTTACATTAAAATCTTTTTGCTGTATGAAAATAAATCTTATTTTGCTCTCTCGGATAGAAGTTTATAGGTTTGCCAGGACTTTGGTATTTGAACCTAGTATGTTGATTGCACCACAACAGTAGTAAATGTATCAGGAATGAAATAATTCAAATATTTGTCCTATTTTGATTCAGATATTAGTGGATTTTGCTATCATTGGTTGTAGTTCAAAACAAATTAATATTATAAATAGGATGGAAAATGAAACAGGAACATTTCACTCTGATTTGCACGTTCTACTTTGAGTATGAAAGTATTAAAAAAAACCTACCTCTGTTGAAGCATCTCTTTGATCATCCCAACAGCAATCTTGTGAGAGACCATTCCTGAATTCAGGTGTGCTGCTGTTAGAACATATGGAGCTTCCGTCTTCTTTATTCTGTGCAGCCTCCTAAATTAATTAAAAGTAATGTAATGATATTGTAGGTTTCACACTATTTTGTAATGTCCAATTTTCAGATTCGAAAAAATGTCATTAAGACAAGATTTATTGCTAAAAATTTTCGAGTGAGCCGAATATCGCAGGGAGAAAAATCTAGAGTAAGCAAAATATCTCTGGGACGAAAATCTAAAGAGAACGGCAATGGGACAAGAATGTGGAATAAACAGAATATGCCAGGGACGAAAATCTCGAAGGAACCAAGCGTTGCGGAGACAGGAATGCAGAATGAACGGAATATCGTTTCTTTATAGATGTTTTATTTATTAATTTTCGAGAGAATGAAATGTCACGGGTATAAAATCTCTAGTGAACAAAAGATGAAGTTTTGTTTTATTTACGTCGCACGAGGGCTGCACAATGGGCTATTGGCGACCGTCAAGGAAACATCACTGAAGATGATTCGAAGACATGCCATCACTATTTTGATCCCCCGCGGAGGGGATGACACCCTTGCTTCGGTAGCCCGACGATCTGAGTGCGAAGCCGAACACTTTACGGTAGAGCAGTTTAACGAGGACCTATACCACGCAACCGCTGTCTCTTCGCAGGCTGATCAAAGTGGTCACCCACCCGCTTACTGACAGCAGCCAGTGGCTGTTGTCTTCTGTGTTCTGCTGGGAATTGCGTCTTCAAGATTAGTCCACCGCGGGATCTTTACCGCAATGGAAGTTGAGCTGATTACCGGAATTAATCAAGCATCAGTGTCGCCAATAATTGTTCGGCGATATTTTACATTTTCACGAAAAGAAAAGTAGAGTGTGTATAGTAAAAAAGAGAATACCCTGAATTACTTTTGACTAGGACCCGTGTTTTAACGATCAGTCCACTGCGGGACCGTGAACAAAAGAAGGGACTACGAACGTCAGAATCTTATGAGAATAAAATATCGCGTTCTTGCAATATCTGGGAATAAAATGGCCTATATTTAGCGAAACATTCGTTACTCGATTTACTCATTGCCTGATTCATTTTCTAGATATAATATCACAACTAGAGATTCTGTCCCCTCAAGATATTAACCCAAGGTTACACAGAAGGTTAATACATAATAAAGATTTAATCTATGCACCTTTTTTTAAATCTAAATATGCCCCGAAGCTTTTTCTGATAGTATTTTAAGCGTACGAAATTCGCGCCAAGTGAAACATAAATGCTTCATTCTGAGGTGAATGAAACTAATTAATCAATTGACTCTCAATTCTAGATTATAAAGGCAACAACTACTAAGTTTACTGCAGTACATTTTGAATAAACACAGTTCTCTGAAAATTCGATGTTTGTCATATCATCGATCACACATATAACAATTGACATTTGTCCTATTTAAACAATAATGTTCTGAATGCGAACAGCATAAGCCTTTGCTGTCATCAATGCTGTAGAATTAATACTTAATGCATTCTGAAATGGATACAATATTGGTCCAATAATGAACAGCCTTTCTCTAAGTAAATTATTATTATTTTTTCTTTTTTTTTAATGCAACAATCCTATTATCCTGCAATCTTGTCACTTAATTTATAAGAAGTAATAAAATTTTGTGTGAGAATAGAGGCAGATGCATAACTATATCACCCGACTATTATCGTTCAATTAAATGCAGTAATGTTGATGTAGAAGGTAAACAGTTGCTTACGTTATTTTATTTTGAAATGAAACTTAGTTAAATTGGTAGCAACTGCTAGTTGTTCGAACATCGATAAATTTTCGGTAAGCAAGTAAAGTGACGTCAGCTTAGATATCGCCTTTGTAGTTAGCATAAATGGCTTTTAGAAATAATGTTTTATATAGCTAGACATGGTGAGCTAAATACACATGAGGAGAAAGGAGTCATCGACAATCCCAACTTTCATCTGTCAAAAGGTTCCCCAAGATTGAATCAAGCTAGCATGTCTTATATACTAGTGAATTGATGCTTAATAATCGCAGTGGTATTTACGCCAGATTACTTCCCTACCAGAATTCGATGAACGGATACCACTAGTTGCCGTATTTGCACAAAACCTGGAGAGCTATATGAAGTTCGCCGGATTTTGAGCGCTTGTGGTGAGAGCTGTACTAAGTACACTGTTGCGTGTGTGGTCTCTCCTGTGTTGCTATTAGCAGTCGAGTGCGTGCAGGTTACAGTTGTGTGTAAATGTGACTGTGAAGCAACAGCGCAAGGAGGAGGATGACACAGTTACAAACAATAAGTCAACTGTACAATGGACCATCCATCGAAGTAGGCAGGTTCTAATCGAAGTGGGCTTTACTTTCGATGTTCATATCACGTCCGCCGCTCACCACACCAATGTGGGGAGAGAATCTTTTCAGACTATGTCAACCTTCATCTATCAAGAGGTACCCCAAGATTGATTCGAGTCAGCATGTCTTGTATGCTAGCTTGTGAATTGATGCTTAATAATCGTAGAAGTACTTACGCTACACACCGACTGATATGAGTACCGCGAAATCTCTGATCTTAATGGCTTTCTTAATAATCTTGGCTTTCCAAACATGAAATATAGGAGAGTTTTTCAGTCACACACCAGTGCCAGCATGGCTTTGTTAAGAGTTTTTGAGAAAAATTTAACCTATCCATCCAACATAAAAATCACGGTAATCTTATAAAACGTGATCCATTTTAACCGTGGGGATATTTTACATCATAGCTATGGTTACCCCAAATTGGAAATGCTAATCATATTCCTCTCCATAAGGATTTGAGGTACGATGGAATGAAAGAAATGCAAAAACAATATTTCGCTTTTTATTTATATCACGAAAAAATGCTTACCATGGCTGCCAACTCTTCTTCTTTGATGTAGAGGAGAGAATTGTGAGCTGTTTGGAAGTGTTGTACGAGGTCCCACCATGTGTTTTGACGTGATTGGCACTGAGCACACACTGGCATGGCTGGAGCGCCTGCAATTTTTTATTTTATTTCAGACATCAACGAAAGAAAAAGCAATTTCAAAAGTGCAATGAAAGCTTTTATTATTTAATAACATACAGATAAGACGATTGCATAGCATATTCAAACTATCGCGATGGGTAAGGATGCATTTAGTTATGAATCAAATACACTTAATAAGTATGTAAATAAAGAATATGAATTAAATAAAATTTGACACGTTTTACTTCAATAAATATCGAGAGTTTTACACTTAATAAGTATGTAAATAAAAAATATAAATTTAATAAAATTTGACACATTTTACTTCAATAAATATCACGAGTTTTACACTTAATAAGTATGTAAATAAAAAAATTTAAATTAAATGAAATTTGACACATTTTACTTCAATAAATATTTCGAGTTTTTCAACATATAACTTCACTATCAAGCCTCTCTTTTTTCACTCTTAAAGTTTTGTGAATCATGCTGCATTATGATTATAAAGGAGATTATTTTATCGTTTTTCCAGTACAGTGATAAATGTTCTAATGACAACATCGCTTCCCCAGAATATTATTGTCATGCAGAAAGCCCGAGGAAAGCAAAACAGGAATGATCTGGAAATTAAAAAACGTAAATGGGAATGGATTGGTCACGTTCTGGGTAAACATGAAACAAGTTCTTCATTGGAACCCTCAGGGCAATAGAAAAAGAGGAAGACCTAAAAGTACTTGGCTTATAACGATTGAAAACAATAGGAACGACATGGTGAAAGGCAAAATATCTTGCCACAAACAGAGTGATATAAAAAGCAATGATAGAAGCCCTATTCTTCAATTCGGAGTGAAAAGGAACATGTGATGTTATTATTTACATTTATTTTCTAATTCATTCATCGCCGGTTATTATTAGAATTTGTGTTATTCCTTCCAAACATTGTTTACTGCGAGTATGATTTTTTATTTGCTAATTTTTTCTAATCATAAATAATACAGTCTTTCACGCTATTGCCTTCCATTTCTAAACCAATCCGCTGTTACTTATTATTCAGCTAATTGATGTCTATACCAATTTTTAAAAAAAATGAACTGCTTCCTACTCAAAAAATTCACATGTCATTGCTTTCAACGCATACTAGGTTATGTGTTACGATGTTTTTCCTAACAAAGTTTCTCCGTTGTACGAAATTCACGGCCGAAGTCAAAAGTATTTCCACAGATATTTTTATTGATTTCTCAGTGTATCAACTACTCATATTTGTTCTTGAAATTGCTGTGAAGTGTTTACAGAAACTTACATCACATCTATACCACTAAAATCTATCACTTTATTGAGATTCTCGTATAATATCTATGCTTCTACGCCTTCAGAAACAGGATAGAGATTCTAGTCATTTTAGATAACACAGCCTATAAGTTACAAATCAATATTTGTTTGGTGGTATTAGTCATAGCATCTACTGGCTTATATAAAGGGAGCATTCAATATACCAAATTAAAATAGTGTATGAGATAGAATATTTTTTTGTGAAAATTTATACGACTTGATTGAATGTAATATCGGAAACTATAGAAGATAGTGGATAGAGCGTTCGCCTTCCAATGAGGTGAACCGGGTTCGAATCCCAGCCATGGCTGGTTGGTCGATGCGAATTTCGTATTCGGCTTGCACTGACCACAGTTCTGACATGAGATATCCTCAGTGGTAGACGGATCATGGGGCAAATTTCTCCCAATATTTGATCGAGGAGTTTCTTTGTCTTCTAAATTACAAGGCTACGGTGTTAAACATTAGTAGTCGTAAACCCAAAAGTTGGGTCGGCTGTTCAACGACAGTTATAAAGAAAAATAGAGAAGAGATGCTTAAAATGTCGTTGTAAACTAGCGTTTCACATCATATTAATAACAAGAGTGATTTCGCATAGCGTTTACCCTGCATTAACCACAACTCTATCTTTTTTTAATTTGTAAGGAGATTCTCGCGCATGCGCTGTGTGGAGTTAGGGAGAACCGTATTGCAAAAACTATCTAATGATACAACGGTATTTACCTAGAGGGCTGGATGTATGTTGGCATCGACAGGTGAATCTCAGTTTGCACGTCTGCTTTTTGTGTTCTATCAGTTTGTGTATTCCTGGAAACACTTCTTTACAGTTACCACATATCAGGATGTCTGGCTCACCTGTTGATGAAAAGTAATTCTCAGTAAAATGTCGTCTTTTCAACAACATACAAACTTTATGTTAGCGCATAAATGAAATTGAAGCTTGAAATTAAACTGGTTAAAATAGATTGAATTTAGATATCAAGTATATATTGCTAGCATTTGTTTCACAGTAAGATAAGTATAAAAGTAAATGATAAGTGTTAAAATTCAGGTGGTATTTATAAGCATAGCATAATTACAACCTTAGTATGGCTACCCATCTTTCCACATTCAAAAGTTAGAGCTCATATGAAAATAGTATTACACGAAATTTTTTTAATCATTTATCTGATGTTAATGCCCGTCAGTTGGCGATATTGGTGACTTAAATAAATAAAAATGAAAACAATTACATTTGTGTATTTTTAAAGCATAAAAAAACATACTGACTGCTTAAAACTGGGTCCCTAACGGGATGGCTTGGTTGGTAGGGCACTGGGCCCATGTACAAGAGGTTGTGTGCTCGATCCCCGCCGACTGGAGACTCCCTGGGAAGTAAATGGTGACTGATGCACGTTAAATGTGTCGAGTCACAAAGTCCTCCATGTTTCCATTACAAATTGTACCTCTGGGGGTACCGATGCAAGAGCTTCTTTGTCCTCTCGATTGGTTCAAAATTACAAGTCTACGGAGTTGAATATTAGTAGTCGTAAACCCAAAATTCGCTAGGCTCTTCAACGACGGTTTTAAAATTTTAAAACGTACCATTAGTAACTAACAAAAGTTTTAGCTGCAACCAAAAAATTTGATATTAGTCACCAGTAACAAACACAAGCCGCAAAAACTTAGGTTTAATGTTAAGATGATATTAAACCCAATAGTAATTTCCCCCCATATATATTCCTTCCCCATCTAATAACATGTAAAAACTGTTATTGCTCCGCGGAAAGGAATGCAGCTCGAAACGTGAGTTTCTACTTCCACGGGACCAGAAGGTTAATCCAAATATCTTTCAATCACCTGAAAATATTTCAAAGATAGATTTAAGAACTGTCTTATTGCAGCTTTTCACATAATTTGTATAAATAAATTCCCGTTTTCAACGAACAGTTCCTCTCTTTAAAACAATAATCTATTCATAAACTAACACTTTATTCACTCTTCAATTATTGAACAAACATAAAGGAGATGTATTCAAACAATATCGTAACGTAAACACTTACCAAACATGGCTGTGCTAGAAACTGCATCAATGGAAATGCCAGAGAGTAATTTTATGCCCCGAAATGGTTTTCCCCTATTACGGGCGAGGGCCCGCTAATCGATATACGCCGCAAAAAGGCCGACTATCAGGAATCTAATGAGGTGTCTGCTAACGAAGGCAGTGAACAATTGACTCGGAAACTGAAGGAGCTACCTCGTTAGTGGTCTTCGTGGAGAAGGAGCTACTATCTTGCTCAAACCACCTTTCGACCAACTTCTTTTCATAGCACCGCCGAGAACAATCGAAGGCCATTGTCCTTCCCTCCCCCGAAGTTACAATTTTGTGCTTCTTTCAGAAATTATAGATGTGTGGGAGAACAGTAATTCATTTGGGTGGTGGTCTCTAGGGAGTTGTTGTTGTTGGGAAACTTATCGCGAGGATGAAAAAAGGAGCGCTAATATCGATTTGTTTCTTTATTTACCAAATTCATTTTTCAAACGATGAATAGGTCCTTCAGGTAAAAGGCACTCGAATTTATCTTTGCTTTTTTAAAAGATGCCAGGTTGAGAAATTAAGAGTTATTTTGGTGCTGGAAATTTTTAATGATGGTATTTGTCTTCTGAATAAAATGAAACTGTCTCGACACACTATTAGTTTACGATGTTGTCACTAGTGCGCAAGGGAATATTAGAAAAAAAAATTAGTAGGAAAATAATTGCTAAGTATTAACGTTGTTTTACGAAACATAGAATTTTTTTTCAAAAAAAAAATTGACAAATAAATTGAGATAAGGAAAAATGAAATAATATAAAGTTATGATTTTAATTTTTCCAGAGAAATGCCATTTAGAGAAACTAAGTACTTGTTCGGATCAAATATTATAATTTTTTTCCTTTCTTTTTTGAAGTTATACTTCTTATGCGACTTCCAACAAGGTTGCGTTAAACGTTTAACGCTAAATTTTTATTGGCCGGGAAATCACGTGGTAGGATCCAGTTTTCCCTCATTCATTTCCATATTGTTTTGGTTCTCACTAGCATAAAAATAATAAAAGTCATAAAAGTATTGTTTTTCTATAAATATTTTTTTAGTTTGTTTTGATACACATATAATTTAATAGGGTAGTATTTTTTATTTTCAAATTTAGTGGATAACAATTGTAAAAAATGAGTGAAAACAATCCCACGGACAATGCGACGGATTTAAGGTTATGTCAAGGTACGTCTCTTGTGAATATCAATTGATTGTTTCTCGTCTGAAATTACATTATGACGCATTCACATACATTATTAATACAAATACATTTTCCAGGGCGAGACGATGAGGCAACCACAAGCACTTCCACTGGTTCAAGAGGGAAAAATGCACAATATCACCGTGATTACAGAGCACGGAAGTGAGCGGAGCAGAAAAAAGAGTCGTTGAATAGAACTAGTGATCCTTCTACGACTGCTGATTCTTCTACAATTAACGTCGCAGGTTGCGAAGTTTAACTTCTTCCGCGCAAAGGGACTCCACGCACCATTTTTTTTTATTCTGCAGGCTTTTGTGTAAAATTTAACATCCACTTTAGTTAATTTTTATTGGTAACTCTAAAGTAATGGGGGGATAATTTTCGTAAACTTTACAAAATGCTTTTTGTAACAAAGACTTCTATAATTTTTTTTTTGTATAAGTAACAATTTCATTGAAAAAAATTTTTTGCTTCATTTTGCTTACGGAATTATTATTAACCAAGTTTATTTTAGTATTTCGCTAAATGTTTGTCATTAGAGTTATATTGGTTTAGAGCATATAGAAAAATTGTAAACTTTACAAATCAAATTTTAATTACAATTAAATAATAAAGAACATAGGTATTTACAGTTAAACCGATTATCACATAGTTAAAAACTGTTTACAGTATGAAAAAAATATGAACACACTCTATAAGAATCATACTAATGAAGATGTTTTTGTATTTACTAACTTGAAGATTACTTAAATAAGTCTTTTTTTGAGCTTAAATTTTATTTAACTTCTTTACATTCATTTTTTTTTTTGTTCTTTCTTTACCCATTAACACCTGAAGTTTCTATATGCCGTGACGTAAAAAAAATCCTATTAAAAAATAATATTTTTTTAAAGTTTTTTTTAACCAAATGAATATTTTCTTCTGATAGCTACTACTTGATGTTTGAAAAGAAAAAACAAATTTTTTTTTTATTTAGAAAATAGTCCGGTTTCAGATAAGAATTTTTGTAAAATTTTCCTAATTCATTAAATCTTTCCTTCAGTAAATTAACTCAATAATTTATCTTAGTATATTTAAAAATCTCTTATCGTAAAATATCATTTTTAAAAATGAATTGAAATTTTTTGAAAAGGATTATAGAGGAACGCAAATATGTTTCAAATTTATTTCCATAACATTTGTCATCTCGATATTTCTGACAGTTCTTCATATATAGTGAAATCGAACGTAGTAAAACCGAAAAATAGATGTTTTAAACATTTGCGTATTTTTGTTCCAAACTTAAATAAGACAAAATTAAATATTTTTAGTGTAGCTTGAGACAAAATTAAATATTTTTAGTGTAGCTTCCTAATAATTGTCAATAGCATCGGGTGTTTATTCATGAGCATCAGTTGCAGATGGAAGATGATAGACATGTCCACACCCCCAAACGCGAATTACTTTATCGATCCGAGTTATTTATTTGGAAATGAAATAACAGCTGTGCTAAATGACTCCACGTGTAGGAGGACATCACGTGGAGGTTCGTGAAGAAAATGGCGACGCACAGCAGTATGCAGGAATTAGTGTCACATATATTATTCAAAATACTGTCTTACTCACTTAAAATGAACGCGATAAAATAACTCAATTTAAGCTAAACTTTACTCATTTGTCTGGAAAAAAGGATCCTGTTCATGAGTTAAATTCACTGGAATTAAAGAGTCAACTGGAATAACTCAAGTTTGAGTACACAATTTTAACTCGAAATTTAGTGTGTTTCAATCCTTTTTGATTGATCATCAGTATCACTTGATTGCATGGTTTTAACTCGAACTTGAGTGAATTTCAACCATTTTTGATTGATCATCATTATCGTTCGAGTGCTTCACTTGTCTGAAGAAAAGGAGCCTATTCATGAGTTAAATTCACTCGAGTTAAAGAATCAGCTGAAAAAACTCAAGTTTGAGTGCATCGTTTTAATTCGAACTCTAGCGTGTTTCAGTCATTTCTGATTGATCATCAATATCACTTGATTGCATCGCTTTTATTCGAACTTTAGTGTGTAAAATAATAAACAAAAAGAAAAAAAGAAGAAGAAAAAAAAAAGATGTGATAATTTTAAACTTTTTCAGTAACATACAAAGATTTTAGTTCAAATTTTTATTTTTATTATAATTTATTTTTTTGTGTATCTGATCTCAGATAATAATATTTCTGAGAATAATTGTGAAAGTAGTTTCGAGGGTAACGTTAGCGTTAGCGAGTAGGGACTTGGACCCACAGTACATATACTAAGTGGTAAAAGTAAAATTTTTGAAATCATTACAAAGATATAAATAGCTCATTAACATTGTTTTGATGATGATAATTGACAATTTCTACTGTTTTTCCTGCAATGGTTTGTTTTTAAAATGCTAACAATTGTGAATCGAAATATTTTTCTGCTTTGACTTCATCAGTAACTGCTATGAATAAAATAACAAAATGCTATCGAAAAAATAAAGGAAACAATCAACTGGTTTTTAAAAAAAATATGAAAGAGAAAGCCTCAGAAATTCCAGGCGAAAAAATGGCTGAAAAGATTAAATACTTTCGTTTGAAAAACTTTAAAATCAAATTCAGAAGAAACGCAGTGAATAAACAACTTCTTTGATTCAAGAAAACTATGAAGGGAAAAAAATATTTATCATCAACATCTTTTTCCTTCGGGTTTTCCGGAATTGAAACGCATCTAGAGTTTCCAAACTAGATATCTTGTCATTTACGCCGCTCTTATATCTAAGCGTAAGAAAAATATCGATACGCGCATCAGGTTTCTCATATCGATTTTTCAAAAAGAAAGCAGAAATATGTAAATATGCTGGATAACTTTTCTCCATTGGATAACTTTTCTTCATAAATAACTATAAGCACGTGACCTCGGGTGCAAAGTACCAATGCAGAGAGCCATCTTTAGTTCTTAAGACAATTCTTCGTAATGGAGCCTGCTAAGGTCTACAGTGTCTTATATCGATTTTATGTTAATCGATTATTCCAGTCATTAATCGTGGAAAGAAGCTACGATATGTAGGATTCTTTTTCCGCTCAGTCCCAGAATTTCAAAAGATTCATAAATTAAAGAAATTGTAGTATTTTTGAAACGGCAGCAGCAATAACGATCATAATTTTGAATTCGTTTTATTTTTTTCTCGTTGCCCTTTTTGGAACAAAGATTTCTTTTTTGGTTGAAAAAAAAATAATATTTTTTAACTAGCATTGAATTATTTTCCTCTTGAACTAGTTTAAATAAACTATTTAATTACACAAAATACATAATTGGGTACTTGCCCTCCAAGAAGAAGACAACCCATACACGCACATGTGACTTATGACGTCAGCTAATCGTTATTAGCGAAATGGCTTATTTAAGTTGTGGGGAGAGTAGTTACAGACCATGTCAACCGTCATCTATGAAAAGGTACCCCGACATAGAGTCGAGTTAACATGTCTTATATACTAGTGAATTGTAGTTGTAATTTTGTAGTGGTAGATACGCTACAAAGTTGAGCAAGGTTTCTTTACATAAGTTAGAATGTTAATTAACGATAAGTTGATTAAATACGGAGTTGTATCGCACATCGAATCAGTTGAAATATAAATCTTTCTCGTTTACTTCTTTTACTTAACTTATATTTTTTTATTTGTTTAAGTATTTTATTGTAACTGTAATATATTTTTGTTTTGTGTACCTGGCAACTTGGATGCATAATAAGTATATTTATGTTCTGCATTGCTTCGTGCCTGCGTTTGCGTTAAGTATTTGTGTAAATATATTTGAACGAATTGAAATCTTTCCGAAGGAAAAGAATTTAGAACGTGTCACTTAAGAGAATTGGTACTTTGAAAGGCTTGGCTTACTCGAAATAGAATGGAAAGAACAGTTGCTAACGTAAACATATGCCACGTTTCAACTACCAATCAGGATCGAGATACTCACACTACGTCACTTGCAGGTATCCCATTATAAAAGCTTAATAAAGAACAGATAATTTGATAAACTCATATAGGCACGACTTAGTTTTTCTTCTAAAGATTTTAATTTGTTACTAGATTAAAAAGTCTAACGCAACCGAAATAATTATGGCTGAGAATTAGATCCTGTGATTCTTCCTTTAATTAATTATCAAATATAAAGAAGATAGAGTGCATTATGTGTACGTTACAGAGTATCTCTTTCAAATACGATAGATTCGAGCGACGTACACGTACAGCCAAAGTAGACATGTGAGCTGAATTCGAATACTTGAGTAAAAATATTTTCTTAGATAAATATTCAAACTTCCTAATAGGGAAGGTGTAATGAAAAGCTGATTATTTAAATCCAAAAATTTAGAATGTCAGCTTCCCATATTGTTAAAGTAAATTTTTTTACTATTTTAGTCATATTTGGTCATACTATTTTATCACTATTTACTATTTCAGTCATATTTGCTACTATTTACTATTTTAGTCATATTTGTCATCATTTAGTCATATTTGGATATTAAATTGCGAAAAGAAAATCCTTGCTCGGAACTTGAAAGCTTATTTATTGAAAGTTGGTTGGCTACTGGTTGCTCACAACTAACAATAATAATTATTACATACTATTATTTATACTATTATTAATGACATGTTTAGACGAGGTTTGGGAGGAAAAGATTTGAGTAACTGTCTCTCTTTTAAAAAAAATATTTGATTTTCCTGTCCTGATGAAGCAAGAAGTAAGTTATTCCTTGCAATATTTATTTGTACATAATCTTTTTTTTAAATGCATATGTTTCATCTTCTATTTTTTTTTTTGATACATATCCAATCACGGTGACTTAATTCTCAATTGCTTGATGGTTAAAAGCGCAGTGCTGCCCTTGCGAAGGACTTAAGTTCGATCCTCTAGGTGTCTTGAAACCCACACAGCTTGTCTGGGAAGAAAAGCGTAATGCTGACAATATTACCCACGAAATTGCGTTCATTTCGAAATTCTGGAGACCTAATCTCCATGAACCTTCAAGGCTGAAAACATACGATTGAAATATAATTAGATTTACATTTCAATGGAGGAGTTATTTTTAGAATCTAGTCCCTCTTTCACTTCCATATTAGGAAGCATTAAATGATTTTCATTAATGCGTAAGTTTACCTTTTTACTCAATTTCTATAAGTATTTAATGCGAGACCGATGGTTTTCGCATGTCTCTTGCTGATTAACGTGTTCCATAAAATATCTGCCAGAACCATCCGGAGTTTTGTCCTCACCCCTTCCCTTGCGGAGTGGGGATGTGAACTGTTATAACCACCAGCCTACCTTTAAATAAACCTTTTTAGTACATATTATGGCTTATGACTGCATTATTAAAGCTGAATACAACAATGATAACAGGGATGTAGCCCTGTCATTATATATATGTATATATATA